ATGGGACTCTCAAGTCCTGAATGTGTGTTTTTAACCATATCTTGAGAACAATAAATTTCCTTTAAGGAACAGAAGCTTTTTTACATATTTACATACTTAAATGTAGTCTCCATCAAAACTCATCAAAATAAGCTGGCTAGACATATATGAAACTGTGAAGTCATTTTATTAAACACTCAGGGACCTGAGAAATGTATCTCAGCACAAATATTTTAAACCATATAACTGTAAAGGAGTAATAGCTGCTGTACTTAAGGACTGACAAAATTCAAAGGCAAAAATTTCCCTATTTGGTTTCAGCAAAGTGCCTTCACGTGTGTTTTTCCTGATAAGACTTATGAATGTCTAACCGGTATCTGAAAAGGGATTAACATCACTCATCATCTGGCAGAGAGGCAAATTAGAACTATAGACAGAGTTTGTCACACTTCTTAAAATGATGCCTCTTTATATATATATATATTTAAAAAAATATTAGCTTATTTAAGAGACGAAGAGAGAGAGAGAAATAGAGCAGGCAGAATGAGCAAGTCAGAGAGAGACAGCTGGAGGTCTTCCACATAATCACTCATTCCTCCAAGTTCCTGCCCCAGCTGTGGCTGGGTTGGGCAGAAGTGGGAGCCAGGGATTCATCAGGGATGCATGCATGGCAGGGATCCAAGATTTGACCAGCGTCAGCTGCCTTGCAGATGCATTCCCAGGAAGCTTGATTGGAAGGGGAGTGTCCGGGACTCCAACAGGCCCACTCAGTGGATTGGGGCATTGCAATCCACAGCCTCACCTGCTGCATCATGAATTCCACCCCAGGTGTTATTTTAAAATGACAAAGACTGCTATAAATAGCCATCTTTGCATTGTTGTTGGGTCCAGCTCTCCACTAGCCCACCGCCTCAGCTGCCGTGGAATCCCGCAGCTTGGGCCCCAGTCTCTGCACTCTCGCCATGACAAACCAGACCAGCCTGGCCTGACACCCGCTCCCAGATCACCACCAAGGACTTAGAGAGAACAAGGACATCCTGTAGAAGGCTGGGAACAGAAGAGACGCCCCTGCCAAATGGCAAAGCTCCTGAGGACAATGGGGAGTAGGAGGCACACAAGGAGGTAGAGGAAGTAGGTGGAGAGGAGGAGGGCGTGGAGGAAGAGGGCCATGGAGAGGAAGAGGATGGAGACGAAGGGGAGGAGGCCGAGGCAGCTCCAGGAAACGGGCACCTGAAGATGATGAAGATGACTCGACAGCAGAAAAGGAAAAATAAAACATAAAAAAAAGTAAATAAAAGGCAGCAGTGACCTAGACCTCTTCCACTTCTGGTCTCAGAATCTCAACGTGATCACTTTGGCGCAGAGGCCGCGGCCACCCGTGGCAGCGTCCCCTGCGGACGACGCGCTCTCTGCACCTCCTAACCAAGATCAAGTGTGTTTGCAACAGAAAGGGAAAAAAAAAATTCAGCTCTGCTTTTATCTGAAAAGTACTTCAGAAAGGAAAGTTCCTTTGTATTTTTACTTTTTCTATTTGTATTTGTGTACATATTGGTGTGGAGCAGCCATTTTTAATGATCTTGGGATGAAAAACCAGCCTGTAGGTTGTTCTCTGTATGCTTCTGACTGTACTTGTGTTGTGACCATGTTCATTTACATCTCAAGGGAGGAAAAAAAAATTGTAAAAGAGCAAATCAACAACAACAGAAAATCTTGCATCAAGCGTTCCTCTAACTTTTTTTTTTTTTTGGAACTTAGCTGTACAGTAAGCTTTTGGTTTGTTTGGTAGAGTGGGCTAAGCATCTGCTTCTGGTGCCAGAATCCTATCTGCATGCCAGGTTTGAGTTCCACATACTCCTCTTC